TCGTACCACCTCTGCCCTCCCTCTGCTCCCCGGCTGTTGGGGAGCTGTCAATTCCCGGCTGCCCACGGAAAACTAATAGCGAAACCGTAATGCGTGGGGGCCTGTCAGCCCGTTTTTGACCGTGCTCCGATTGCTAACTGCTAACGTGATTAAAGTTGGAGAAATTATAGTGGAGACGAGGTGTGAATGTTTATTCTTTACTTGTAAATAAAGACGGCAAACTCCTGTATCCCGGAACCGGTGTTTGGAGAGTAGTCTCGCTGGCTTTTATAAATGTTATCTACTTCTATTGAATTGGCAACGGGAGGAGGTGACGTTAAAAGAAAGCTTGCTGTAGACCTACCCGTGTGAGGGTTTTGTAATAGCGCTGTAGCAGGTCAGTCTATTAGAAGAGTTTAGCTATTGGCCAGCACCAATGGAAAATCTTAGGAACAAGAATCACAAACCACACATAGAATTTTTCCTATTTATTCAGGGATTTTTAATTTTTGCTTTGTATTATGAAGCCTGTTCACATCCGTGCTCAATTACTAAAGTAAATCTCGCTGCAATGCGCATTGTTTCTCCGAAAGGGCTAGAGCAGGCATTCTGAGGAGGAGTCGGCGCTGCAGTCCTTGGTCCCTGCTGGATGATGCCCTGTTCCCAGGCAGTGTGTGCACGGAGGAGACTGCCAGGGTGCTTATCCTCTGTGCAAATGCAGCAAAAGGGAGAAGAGGGCTGAGTAAGGGCAAAGAAAGGTTCCAAGCATGGTGGGAGTCGGGAAGGGAATATAAATTTCTCTTCTGCTGAGCTCTGTATTCTGCCCTGCCAACACCCCTGTGCTTAGAGAAGCAAAGAGAGGGAGATTTAATGGACAGTATCTTTATTTTAGCTTTAGAGTCCAGTGCCCCTCAGTTCTGGCATAGAAGAGATGAGAGTGAGCTCTGAAGTTCTCAATGTACCAGCTGGGGTGAAGTTCAGCTTCAAACATGCCTTGAAAGAAAAAAAAAAAAAAAAGCCTTTTTATGAAAACCCACAGAAGACAGCAGTTGCACTGGGCTCCATTATAAATATATTTTTATTTTCCTTTTTTATTGTTAGATACAGCAAAAATCATTGCTATGTCCTGTCCATACCTATAATTTACCTTAATATTAGCTGAGGACAATTTACTAGATTGTTTCACTCCAAAAACTTAAAAGCTAGAGCACTTGAAACAGGGTTGAAAGATGTTTGATCTACTTAAGTTCCACATTCATGCCGCAAAGGTGGAGGCATAATACCATCTACAGAAACTGGCGCTGGGTGGAGTGGCAGCCAGTGTGTCTCAATCACTAAGAACTATGAGCTCTTGCAAGATAATTAGTTGTGCTAGGGAATTTATTGTATGTCAGTCACACTGAGGGTGAGTTTATGGCTAGAAAGACAAGCTGAAATGGTTAGTCTTCATATTTGAAGCAAATGTCCTATATAATCCAGAAGGGTCAGTCACTGTGGGGGGCAGGTAACAGGCAATGTATGTTTTTTACTGCAACATTGAAGCACTTCAGTAAGGATGCAGTTATTTTTGAAGAGTTCAGGTTGGACATGACAAGATTTTACTTCTGCCTACCACTAAACTGATGCATCTGATACAGTCTGTCAGTTACTGCCTTAATTCACCTGTCTTTTTCAAAGGCAAGAAAGAGCAGATTAAAAGAATCCCTTATATTTGGGGTGTCAGCCTCGCAACAAAAATCCCCGTTTTGTGTGGCATACGGGCAGGTACGGCTTACGGGCAGTGGTCGCTCCTAGGTCACTGACTGGGATTTGGTGCAGGGCAGATGCTGAGTACATCGTGAAACTCCTTCCCCCCCAGTGGAGTGACTTACCAACCCAGGATTTCTGTAAAGGTCAATACATTCTCATTTAGTACATTTTTGTGTTTTTCAGCGTAATTAATTATTTGATGCTTTGTTTCAAGACAATAACCCTTTTTTCCCCTGTGTCTATTTATAACTATTTGAAGTTTGGGCCTTTTACTGTGCTATGGATCATCTGGGGTATGTGAGAAGTACTACTTCTGCCCAAGGTGCCAAAGAGGGATCGAGCAAGCCTGCTGCTCCCCAGAAGAACGCTTATGCGAGGCTTGTGCAAAAGCACCACAGTGGCCGATTCCGGTCCTATTTGAATCACATTGCGCAGAAGATGCAGCTAGAAGAGAGCACCTTGAATGACCCCAGCTCGGATCTGGACCCGCCCCTGAGGAGAGGCCTGGTGAAGGATAATCCAGCCAGGAATGGGTTGAATGTGCACAGCTATTCACCGGTCCGAACATCTCACCTGGAACAGCCCATGCCTGGAGGATTTGAGAATGATAAACCCCAAACCGCTCTGAACAGATGTCCTCATAAAAAAAATGCCATTGTTAGCCCAGAAGGAGACTTGGAGGTGGAGGAAGACTATTACGGACATCAGCGTGGAGCTGCAGCTGACTTGTTAAATATGAGTGATGCCCTGGGAGGGAGAGTATCGAACAGCCTGAGATACCTTTCAGCTCTGCAGAAGTCTTCTGGTTCTGATGAAAAGGACGAGGAGGACATGTGGAGGAAGAAACATAAGAAAAGAGGCAGGTGCCCTGCCAGCACAGATACAGCAGCTGGACACTTGTTGACTGAGCAGTTTAGTGAGGATGTACTGGCAATAAATGCCAGGAAAAACAGTCACTTGTCTCCAGGTCAAGTCCGAGGTGAGTTCACACTAATGATCTGTTTGGTCCATTTGCTACAATTACTGTGGAATTGAATGTGATGTTTTAGTCATGAGTGAGTTAACGTGAGCCAGTTCTACTCTGTCCAAGTTAGTCAGCCCTTAGTTACCTGTGGGTGGCTTTGTCCTGGTTTACAAGTAAGCCATGCGGCATGTGCAAATGGCTTCATGTGGAGCCAGCTTGATGCTGGCTGGACCTAATCCCCTGGCCTAGGCTCTGTGAATGTGGCTGTGCTGCTTCCAGGATCAGCTCAAGACTACGAGAGCCCAATTTCTGTGGTGTAGAGTCCGAATTAATAAGACTGCTGGATCTGAGCTGACTCAGGGCAGAGTCATGCTTTCCTCTGCATTGCCTCTGGATCTGGAGTGCTGGTTTGCCTTTGTGGAGGGTCCAAGTCCATCTAATACTCAGGGGCTAAGATGCCTGTATAATATCTAATTCCTGATACAGTGTTGACTCCAGTTAATTTTGCTGTTAGTAACAAAGAGACCACATCTTGCAGTAGTAAAGTGAATGTGTCTCTTAAATGCAATATTCAAGGCAAAAAGCCCACTTATGGAGATAAATAAAATTAATTATTAAGAAAAAAACCCCAAAACACAGCATCAACAAGCAACCAAAGCCAGGCAGTTTAGATTTGATCTCTCAGTGTAATGGGTTAAAACTTCATCTGAATGTTTTTTATGGTGAAATACTTGGATAGCCTGATCTCATGAGCTGCTACTGGAGGAACTCATAAATGTCACCATATTAAATTCTCTGTAACAAGTAGAAAAGAGGTCAATTTCTCAGCTGGGTAAGATGGGCCTGAGGCCTATCACAACTCTTGGACTGGAAATGAAGTAAATGTTTAACTAAATCAATCTTACAAAACTATGCCCTGTCGCTCAAGACTGGCAAGTAATATGCTTTTTACAGGGCTTGTGGTATTTTTGAGGCTGTGACAGTAGATTATGTGCTACAGTTGGTAAACTTCTGTGAGTTCTTGCAAGACAGATTATAGTTAGAGATTTAACACAGGCAGATTATGCTAAAATTTGTTGACGAGCTTGATTTTTGGGAGTTTTTTTTTTCTGTTGCTTCATTGTAACACTTATGCTAGCCTGTTAAAATAGGCTTTGCTACCTTTCACCGTGCAGCTTTTGAACAGTAGGGAAGAGCAGCTAACAGAGATGGAGAGTCTAGAAGGCTTACAGTTGGCAGCCATGAAAATGATAGGTGCCTACATGACTTTAGTCTAAAATAAAAATATTCTGGCTTTCAAAAGCAAGCACCTGCAGTTCCCTCCTGCTGTAGTTGGGAGTGGGGTTGTACAAACCTTTTGAAAACTAGTTGCTTGTTTAGCATAAAGACCTAGAGCAGAAAATGTTGACCCTAATGTTTGACCTCCCAGGTGGAAAACTCACACTGTGGGGAAGATTATTGGAAAATTGTTTGCTTAACAGTGACACCCTTCCTCTTCTTCCCTTTGCATGCCTCCCCAGCTACCCTCCTGTGTAGCTGAGTGTCCTGGTTTCTGCTGGGATAGAGGGAAGAAAATTAACTCTATCCCAGCCAAAACCAGGACGTTGAGACTGGTTACTCTCCAGAACACTTGCAGGGACATGAAAACAGTTTCTTGTGGAGGAAAGAAATAGGACACCCCCCACACACACCCCGTCATTTGATTCAGAGAAATGTCTTTTCTGCTGTTCAGTTTGAGTATACTTTAGCACTCTTGTTTAAGTGAAATGAAGGTTTTACAGTATGCAAGCGCTTAAATATAAGAACTCACACATCATAGTCCCAGATTAATATTTTCTCACTTCAAAGCTTGTCTTTCTCTCTTGATGCTGATATAAGTCATATTACTTTGCATAGGCAGGTGTCTGGTTTGATCAGTTTAAATCAAGGCTTGTGAAACTGTGATGGCAAGAATTGCTTCTGTCATAGTGGTGAGGCATATCATCTTTTCAGTAGTGACATTTCCTCACAAATTAACTCTCTTCAGGCTGTTGTAGGCTTTCCAAAAGACTCTTTGAGCTAATCTCAAAGCCAAGCATCTCTCTTTATATCGCTTCTTTTTATTGTCCTCTTCTTAACAGCTCTTCAGCTCAGGCTTAGCCATGGTCAGGTTTGCAATGATCCAAAAACTGAAAGTGCTAAAATTGAAGGCAAACAAGGAGGGCTGAGAAAACCGTTTGAGTGCCCTGGGGCAGGCTGTGGGCAGCAAGGGGCTGGTCCTTGTTAATTCCTTCCAGTGGTGCAGCAGTTCTGTGGCCTGGGGGGAAAGCAGAGTGGTTTGTGGAGCCCCGAGCAAGCGTCACTGAGCCCTGGAGCTGGTCCCTGCTGACGATGTGTTGCTGTCCATGAGAAGCACTGAGGATTGCCTTTGTCATTCTGTACTGTGAGGCCCCAAGACGAGGCTTGGGGAATAGAAATAATTTCATAGCAGATAATTAGGAGACTGACCATGGCAGTTTCTTCTGGTGTTTCACATAGTAACTGCTTTTCCTAAGTATTGGAAACTTCTCAGTTGAGAAAGCTGAGTGTGAACAAAACTCCATTGTGCCTTGTCTGACACGTGTGACATAGTCATGAAACTGCACGTTGGAGTCACTCTACGGTATCAGCATTCTTGCATTTCGGAACACGAAGCTGCATATAGATGCACTCCACAGATCATCGCTTCTTTCTGTGCAGCGATAACCTCTGTGAGGAGAATTACCATAAAGCTTCGCGTTCTGAAGTTTCTTCTCAAACAAACCCCAGTAAGACAGAAAATAATTAAAAAATGCTGCTTTAAATTGTGGTGCTTATAGTTTTTCATCTAATACAATTTCCCTGCTGCTATTTTTTCCTAAATCTGTGATCCTCTAGGTTCTTTGGGTGCTAAAATTTGGCTAAATTTCCTTAACAGAAAGTCTTTTATGAAGTCCTCTGGGTTGTTTTCTGGTTTTGATCAAAGGCTCTAAGAGTTTCCCCACTTCAATCCAGAATTAGTCACCAAAATCTCTTTTCAGACTGACTGATGTTTCTGTCATAAAGGGGCTTAAAACCCCCTTTTCCTTGAGGACAGAAGTACTGACTCTTTTTGCAGCATGTCTGTCACATGCTAGTAGTTGACATTTGCATGGCTGCTAAGTGGAACTTTGTATTAAATATCTGTGATGCATTGCTTTATCAGTAAGTAGTTTAGACCAATCTGCGTGTTTTATTTGGGACAGCACGGTTTCGGTTTCGGCTGCTTTTTGAGTACGTGCACTTCTCAGCCCGTTTTTGAGGGAACGTTGCTGTTTGATAGCACATTCCTGAGTCTGCTGGAAAGCCTAAAAAACAAACATCTGCGGAAGAGAACTGTCCTCCAAACGTGGAGTGCACCATGGTCTTTGGGAACACCATCTCACAGCACACTTGATTTCAGAGGATCTCGGGAGCAAGAGTACCTGGGAGTGAGGTGGCTTTATTGATGCTTGGCCAAGAAGGCCAACAGCATCCTGGCTTGTATCAGGAATGCTGTGGCCAGCAGGAGCAGGGAGGTGATTGTCCCCCTGTACTCGGCGCTGGTGAGGCCGCACCTGGAATACTGTGTCCAGTTTTGGGCCCCTCAACACAAGAAAGACATTGAGGTGCTGGAGCGTGTTCAGAGACGGGCAACAAGGCTGGTGAAGGGTATGGAGAACAAGTCTTATGAGGAGCGGCTGAGGGAACTGGGGTTGTTTAGTCTGGAGAAGAGGAGGCTGAGGGGAGACCTTATCGCTCTCTACAACTACCTGAAAGGAGGTTGTAGTGAGGTGGGTGTTGGTCTCTTCTCCCAAGTAGCTAGCGATAGGACGAGAGGAAATGGGCTCAAGCTGCGCCAGGGGAGGTTTAGACTGGAAATTAGGAAAAATTTCTTTACGGAAAGGGTGGTCAAGCATTGGAACAGGCTGCCCAGAGAGGTGGTGGAGTCACCATCCCTGGAGGTGTTCAAAAAATGGGTAGATGTGGCACTTCGGGATATGGTTTAGTCTAGTCTGCCCTTGATTGGTTTAGGTGGGCTTGGTAGTGTAGGTTAATGGTTGGACTGGATGATCTGAAAGGTCTTTTCCAACCTAGACGATTCTATGATTCTATGCTGAAAGCTTGGGTGGAGCAGGGTGCTTGTGAAGGCTGATTGCTGTGAAATAGATTCAGATGTTGCACGTCTGGATATACAGTCTCAGTCTGTGTCTGCAGACATCCTCCTTGGGAAGAATACCACCACCAGCTTTGCTAGGTAGCCTCCTGAGGCTCCTCTCACTAAAAGCTTCACGGGTTTATGATGTGATGGAGGTATCTTGCCCATCTGTCAGGGTCAGCGTGCTCCCTGAGTAGAAACAGACAATTCCTGGGTAACAACATGCCTCATCTGAAACGACATATGGTTTCCACGGCCCTTTCTGATTTATCCTCTGTCTGACACTTGGCATTTATTTGCCCAGCCTGTGGTACTTAACCAACTTGGGCAGCTTCCACGGAGGAGTGTTGCTGGCAAGCAGGCTGCTGTTTAGCATCATAGCTTTAAAAACAGTTGTTGCTGTTGGATGGTGGTGTTGTGTTTGTGGCTGCAACCCTGACATTTAAAAGGCTCAGGATAGGTAAAGGAAATGTCCTGGAATGGCTTTCCTGCATATTTGATGGGCACAGCTGGTCGAGAAATACCAGCCGTAACAAGATAGCAAAATCTTAGGGGTTTTGTCTTTCCATCGTCCACTGCAGTAAATTTTGTATTTGCCTTTGTTTCTCTGGGGGAAATTTGAATGAAGAACCTTACCCTTCTTGTAAGGCAAATTTAAGATAATGCTACTTTTTAGTGGTGAGCCTTCCAGTTCTTGTGTGGTGAAATTCAGTACTTAAGAATGCTGTTATCTCCCTATCTGGCACCAGTAAATGTGAGCCAGCGATCTAGTAAAGGCCACAGAATCAGCTCAATAAATGGAGAATGTTGGTTGCTGTGGAAATCTTTAAAATGTAGCTAA